GGGTTTAGGGGTTTGGGGTTCAGAGTTTGGGGTCGTGGGTTTACGGTTTGGGGCTACTTGGATTCAGGATTCAGGCTTGTCGACCAAACATCCCTGGTAGGTGCCGAGTTTTGAGCGAAAGAACGTCGACGACGCACTCGCCCGAAGCCTTCCGTGGACCTCCATGGATATCCACTCCGGGGCTCCTCCAAACCTCTACTTTGCAGGTAATTTCGAAGCCGCAGTAGTTACCAACATTAGTTCTCAGAGTTCCTTCTTGTAACTATTGTTTTAACATACCCCCCCAAAAAACAAACCCTTGTTGAATTACCAAGGCCCCTACATTAACTAGAATTCGGTTTCGGGGCAATTGTATAGACTGCAGGCACGAAGCGGTCGTACAGGAACCATGATGCTATCTGTTGATGCCACTCTCTTGTGGGTAGGGTCGCGAGCCTCCCCAAAAAGCTCGCTCAATTCATAGAGTGCTTTGCACAGCTTTTTCGGTTTTGGTGATGAGATCGTTTGGCAACTGGTGTCTAAACCCAGCGTCACCCTAAGCCTTTTAACGTCACCACACCAAACCCTAAGCCCTAGGCCCTGGATGGTAGAGTCATTTGCAACTATGATGCTTCAGGCCTCCGTGTCGTGTAGGGTCCTTCCTTGCGAAGTCCAAACTGGAGCGTCTTGTACGATTCCAGCTCGCGGCTCCAGGGTTTGAGTTCAGGGTTTAGGGGTCAAGAGTCGTAACCCAGGTCGCTTATTGGTCTAGGGTTTAGGGTTTAGGGTTTAGGGTTTAGGGTTTTGCTAATCAAATTTCTCCTAGGGCATGTGAAATATACTATACCCACAATCTCTGTTGTCGCCTCTGTTTGGCCCCTGAGTCCACACATCAAACCTGACGGTACCCAACAGGAGCCGCCCAAAGCATTGGATGCGAAACCCTACACCCCAAACCCTTCAAGCCCCCTTCTTCCCAAAACCTAACCCTGAAGCCCTGAGACTCTAAACCTCTCAGCCCTTAACCGGCAAGCGCTCACCCTAAACCTAAGCTCCAGACCCTTCAAACACTGCGATCCGCTGAGCCTGCGAGCCATCCAACCACCTAGCAGCAGCCCAAAGGGCAACCGCTAGCCCCCTCTTCTAAACGAACCCTCATTCCTAAATCCGAAACCCAGACTCCAAAAGGAGAGCCCCAACCACCCCCCTAGAGAGTCCCCAAGCTTCAGAAGCCCCCCCAAAAACAGAAACCTAAAGCCCCAAATCAAATTTCGGAAGCCCCTGAATCCTAAGCTTGAAATCTGAATCCTAACCTCAGACCCGAAACCAACCTAAAAACTCTAAACGCACCCACGACGAACATCTCTACATCCAAGAGCCGGACCCCTATAAAGCCCTGAAAGAAACATTCCTCAATTCCCAAACCACCTGAAACCCAAGACCCCCAAACCTTTCCCTTCAAGCTAAACCCCAGACCCGAAACACCAGAATCTCCCCCAAACCTTAAACCCAAAACCCAAAACCCAAAACCCCAAACCCTAAACCCCAAACACAAGACCCTAAATTCTAAACCCTAAACCGTAAACCNNCCCCCCCCCCCCCCCCAACACGGACGAAAAGCGCGAGGCCCCGGCGAGCCCGGCACAGCCGGCCCCCCGAAACGCGCCGCCGACCCCGCCCACTGGGGGAGCTCAGAGGACCGGGGGAAATTCTGTGAACGCTTGGAGTGCAGGGTGTTGTAGGATGGCAGGATTTTTGGATATCGGAATGTAGGGATTTTTGAAAATGATGGTCGAAGTTCCAGGTGCCTGGAGTTGTTTTTGTTTCCGACGAAGCTAGGTTTAAGGGTGGGGGGCGTCGGCTCTAGGGCTTGGCATGGGCTTTAGATTTGGGATACTGGGGTTCCAGAGCTCAGAGTTTGGAGTGCCCCCTTTTTTCGAGTTTGGGTTCAGGGTTTTATAGGGTTTAGGGTGGTTACTTGTTTTTGAGGATCCCTAAACCCCTAAACCCCTAAATCGCCTAAACCCCTAAACCCCGAATCCCTAAACCCCTTAACCCCTAAATCCCTAAACCCCTAAACCCCTAAACCCTAGACACGTGCGCTTGTGGGTTCTGTGGCCGGCTGGGTTGCAGAGCCCCAGCTGGGTTGAGGTTGTAGGGTTGGAGGGTTTAGGGGTTTAGGGTTTAGGGTTTGGGATTTGGGGCTTGGGGTTTGGGGTTTAGGGTTTAGGGTTTAGTAGGGTTTGGGGTTTAGGGTTTGGGGTTTAGGGTTTGGGGTTAAGGGTTGAGGTTGTGGGGTTGTAGGGTTTAGGGGTTTAGGGTTTCGGGTTTGGGGTTAAGGGTTTGGGGTTAAGGGTGTAGGGTTTAGGGTTTGGGGTTTAGGGTTTGGGGTTTAGGGTTCAGGGTTCAGGGTTTAGGGTTCAGGGTTGAGGGTTTAGGGTTTAGGATTTCGGAATCAGTGATCCTAGTGTTTCGAGTCTATAACTATTCGGGTTCCCTTTTCCTTCGTTCAAATTTCCATGCATCTCGAGTTTGCTCGGGTGAGGCTCTTGGGGGGGTTGGTGTTTGGCGGCTTGGGGGGGAGTTTTCGATTCTTTGTCAGGCTTCTAGGGCTTTACGGCTTTATGGTTTCGAGGGATGTTTCGTGTTTTGAACAAGGTTTTGAGCGTGTTTGAAGGTGTTGTATCGTAAGGATTCTGCTGTTTTTTTGGCTTCGTCCTTCTGGTGCTTTGGGTTGTAGGGAATTGTCGGAGTCAGGGTCTAGGCTCTTGTGTGTGGGGTGCTTTATCTCTCTCGTCGTGTCGATGCGCACTATGACGGTTGAACTTAGCGAAGGAGGGATGATGATTTTTTGTACGAGTAGTACTGTACCGTTGTCAGTCTTCCGAACCCCAAACCTTGCAGGCCGAAGGCAGACCTTACGAATAGTATGGATCAACTTGTTATTATTCTAAGCAACCGACAATCATGCTCGCTGCCCGCGAACGCAATACTGAATACTCCTCAAGGGCCAGCCTCCAGACCCCAAGCCCGAAGCCCTAACCCGAAACCTGTAGTTGCGGTCGGGGCTTAAGTCTACGGTTTGGTGCGCCAATTTTTAAACCAACCAAAACCAACCCCAATCCCTAGATCACCTTTAAACTGGCAGCTTCTGCCACGTGGCTTTCGAGCATGTTGACAGTGGCAGGAATGGCCATCTGAACTCCTTCGCCCGGGTGATCCAGGCGCGGTTTGGGGTTCAGGCAGGCTTGTCCGTCTGAGGCGATTAGTTTCAGGGTTTCGGCGTTCAGGCGGAGTTTAGGGTTCGGGGTGTGGGTTTCGGCGCATTGCACTTAACGTTCAGGGCTCACATTTGAGCGGACTCGCGCGTTGCTTTCAGTGCTGGACACATCGCCCAACACCTGGGGTGTTTCCTCAAAACCGGGTCACTTCTGCAGTCCGGGCTTATTGTAGCGGTGGAATGAACCTAAGCCCGAAACCCTAAATCTTCGACGCCGTTTCAAGATGTATTTTGCACCCCCGAAAGCCTGAACTCTAGACCCCTCCCCTCGAACAGTGAAAACGCTGGTTGCCGCCAGTCATAAGACTTCGCAAATACTTGCAGCATTCGGCCCGCTAGAAAACTGGAGGTGGGTTGGGTTGTTTAGGGGCTGTTGGGTTGGGGCTTGGGTTAGTAGTTCTTGTTATGTTTCGGTGGTTGTTAAATCGGTGTTGTTGGCGGGTAAGCTTAAATCATCGCCCCAAATCCTTAACCCCAAGTCTCAGACCCCAAACAAAACTCCTAGACTCAAAACCCATTGATAAATAAAGCTTGTGCAAACCTACAATCTGGGAAAACTCAGAAGCGCATTAACACCCTTTTCCAACCCCCAAAGAACCTAAACCCTAAACCCTAAATCCTAAACCCTAAACCCTAAACCCAAGTAACCCATTGCAACTCTCAGCCTTTGCGGAACCAAATCGCAGCGGCAGGCGGTCCGTTCGACCCGGGCGATCCAATCAGCCGACTTTCTCAGCTTCTTTAGGTTCTGAAATTACTATCACGACTGTCATCACTAACATGATTCTTGCTATCCTTCAAGCCTTGAGGAACTACTGACAACTACATGGGGGGGGGACAAAAGTTCTGACCTGCTTACGTCTTTCTTGTCTTAAGACGTCTTGCGGAAAAGCGGACTACTGAAAAGTGCGAATTACAAGGCCTGGCCAGTGGAGCATTCTATACCCCGTTTCGAAGTTATACTACTGTACTTTAAATGTTCTGGAGGAATGCCCCGTGGTTCCTGCTTGTTAGGATTCTACAGGGAACTGGGGGCCTGTGTTCGACGAAGCGACGATAGGTGAAGCTTGCGTCCTACCGTAGCATTTCTCTAGTGGTTCTGAGGGGCTTTGCAGAAGCTTGTGCCGGATATCGGAGTTGCCTGAAAGTGGTGCTGGTTTCTGCGCGCATCCACAGAACCGCCACTTTGCACATAGATTTAGGGCCTCAACTAACCGCTGCAAAGCGAGTAGTTCGATCCTGCTGCACAACCAAATAGAGTTGCCAACTCCATAGCTGGTTTCTGGACAATGTGAATGTTGTTCAAGCACGATGGGACATGGCAAACCCAACACCCTAAACCCTAAAACCCTAAAACCCTAAACCCTAAACCCTAAACCCTAAATCCCTAAACCCCTAAACAAAAACCCGAAGCATCAGCACCAGGCAAACTCCAGACCCTCAAGGCGCCCGAACCCCTTTCTTGGACCACCAGGCTTTAGTTCAGGGTTTAGGGTTAAGCTTTCATGACCGAAAGCTCTAAACCCTTACTTCTACACTCGAAACCCTTCGTCACCTCATCCTTATACCCAACTCCATCATCCCTATACAAGCCCCAGGGCCCAAAAACCTCAAAATGCACTTCTAAATCCCAACATCCTCTCTTCCTTTGCTCTCGGCGAGATGAGCTAGGCCTGGCGAGCCCGGAAGACTTCGAATTCCTCGGCAAGGGCCTTGGACAACGGACACTTCGAAGTTTAGGGTTTAGGGTTTAGGGGTTCAGGGTTTAGGGTTTGCGTGGCGCTGAGGGCCGGCAGAGTTGTTAAGCAAGTCTTGAGGTTTTGGGTTTAGGGTTTGGAGCTTTTTTTCGTTTAGAAGGACCGTGTTCAGGAGCTTAGGTCAAGGTACCGAAGGGAAAATCATGCTTTTCTCCGTTCCTTGACCAGAATCCAGCTTTCGATTCTCTGGGTGTTGGATGTCAGGTTTCGGGGCGTGGGTTTGAGGCTGGGTTTTTGGCGCAAGGGTGTGAGGATGGGATCTCCGGTTGAGGTATTGCCGAATTCGGTGGGATCTATGTTCCTACGGTCTGGGGGCATGAACCCCAACGGCTTGGCGCCGAGGCATCTGCCTCCGCGGCCCCGGGCGCGACGGAGTAGGCCAGGGATGCCCCTAAACCCTCAACCCTAAACCCTCAACCGCTCCGTAAGGGAACCCATGAGACTTCGGTCATAGCGGAGCTCAGGCTTCGGCTGGGGCTTTAGGGCCCTGAGGGCAGGATTCGGGTTTAGGGTTTTGGGTTGAGGGTTTAGGGTTTAGGGTTTAGGGAGGGTTGTCGGTTGAAGATTTAGCATGTACGGGTTTAGGGTTTCAGTCAGGAGTATGTACCTGGGTATTCCGGTTCCTTTGAAGCTCATTAAGCTAGTCATCTGACATAAGTCCCTAATTTCGACAGGCCACGAGTCAACTGAATGACTTTCCATGGCTCACCGGCCAAAACGCACATAGACGTAAGAATCCTATGTTGTGGCATTACAGCCCCTATCAACAGCAGTGCTTCGCGCCGTAATTGTCAGATCCCCTTGTTTATGCATCTGTTTATGTTCATGTGGCCTTTTGGGGCATGCCCTCAATATCAATAAGAAGTGAAGTGTGTATTCGTTAATTAAGGACGGCACTTCGAGCTGTCGTGAGGAAAGCATCTGACTATACGTCCAAACAAAGAGATTTCGTACTCAGAAGAATCCTAAACCCTAAACCCTAAACCCTAAACCCTAAACCCCTAAACCCTAACTCAGACCTCAGGATTGAAGCGGGCTAAGTTCGGTGGGTTTCCTGTAAGGTGTGGATCCCTTCTTGAGCCGAAGACCGAAGTTGGAGCTTAGGATTTCGGGTTCAAGTTAAGATACTTCGGGGCTGAGTAGGTACTTTAAGAACCCCAAAACCTACCTTTTTTTGTCGGGTCCCTATAAATCCCATATTAGGGTTTATAATAAGAACCTACAAAAAAGTGGGTTTTGGATTCTTAAGGTAACCTTTAACCTTTTGGGGCTCATATAAGCCTACTATAATTGAAAAGGGTAGCCTTTCTTGGGTTAGGGTACTCAGCCCAAAAGGATAGGTTTAGCCTACAGGTTTGTGCAGGCTGGTAGGGAATCCAACCTAAGCCTGGAGCCCAAGAAACGTCGCAGGATTCTGCGGCTGTGTGCCTGCGGCTTCGGTCCTCGACTTAAGCAGTCTTTGCACATTGGCCGCGCTTTGGAAGTTTGGTTTGAGCTGTCGCCTTGAAAGCTTCCATGCTGCCTGGAGCCGTATCTTGGTCCAGGACCTTATCCGATACCAGCTACACTCCTTGGCTTTCCCAGTCCATCCTCGTGATGGCACCTACATTCGCCATGTCGCAAGAGGCAGGACATCGAGAGCGAGCTCTCCAGGCGAATGCCCCTTGTGCCACCCGGTTCTACTAGGTTTTTCTAGAGAAACCTACATAGTAGGTCCAGCCTTCAGGGTTGGAGTTTGGGCGCCGAAGAAGCTTGTAAAAGGGCTGAAGCGCAAGCACGGACGGGTTGAAACCTGTTGTTTGTGAGTGGGCTATTAAGGCTCTCTGAAAAACGCTCAGGAGAGGCGTACGTGTTCTTGTGAGGAGTTATGACGAAGTTCCACGTAGCTCCACTTTTTTGCCCGCCAAACCTAGTCTAATTGGTCAGGCCCGTGTAGCTGTTGAGCAAAGCTTCCGAAGCCCCGGCGACCTTGTGCATTTTCGAACGCCAAGTCGCAGCTCTGACTTCGATGTTTGTTCTCAATAAAGTCTTCATCTTGAAATGCAGTTGATTGGAGGCGACGGCCTGGCTGTCTGTTCCTAATGTTGCCTCAGCCATCAGCGCCTTCTGGCTGTGCGCCGTCGGCGGGCTGCTGCTGCTAGCAGCGGTGCCACGGGAAGGTGAGGCTGCACGGGAACAGAATAGAATGGAATGCAATATAAGAATAATCATAATATAATATAACATAACGGCTTGATTCCGAGCTTCGTTTATCGCCTTGCCCTGCCCTGTTACAGGATGGCGTGCCACGCTCAGAGACCCCATCCTGCTCTTCTTCGAGCGAGGGGCCTCTCCGTCGTGTTGGTTTCGAGCCTTCGCAGCCATGCTACGTTTCATTCCGATGTGTATTTTCACAAAAATAGCCATAGTTTCATATTCGACCATACTTCCTCGAATCTCCCCTGGTGGCGGCCAGTGTGAGAAAGTGCCCTCCTGGCTGCAGCAGGGCTGCCAGGAGGGTCGGGTGTCGGGGTCGAGCTATGCCCGATGCCTGGAGGAAAGCCCATGGTACATCAGCGGAAATTGCAACTTCATAGCCGCGGGGCTTTCGGTGCATGGGCTGGACTGGGTCTTGACCTCGGCCTATACCAGTCTATTTTTTGCTCCCCCGCTCGCCCAACTGGTCCTCTTTGTCGTCTACATTGTGGAGGCTTGCGGGCGCTGCTGCCAAGGGGACAGTGGCAGCGCTAACACGGACGCTCCAAGAGGCAGAGGCCCCACTCAGCCCGAGCCTGAAATGATGCAGATGCTCTCGGTCTTCAAAGACATCTTCTTCGTCGCTGTGGACTTCGCTTTGGATTTGAGCTGCATGGTAACCTTCTTCTCGGCCGGGCACTACTACTTCGGCAGCGTCGCACTCGTGATCTTCACCTGGTCACTAGGGCAGCAAGTGAGTGGCCATCAAGGCTTCGGGTTTTGGAGCACGGAAGTCTCTGCCAGCATTAATGCCGGCATGCTGAGCGATGAGCTTGTCAAGATCACCCGGACCGAGAAGTCCGTGGAGGCACCCTTGTCGTTGATGCTTCAAACCTATACGTTTATATACGTTTCCATCTCAAGCCCATTTGCTCTCATCTCCTTTTCACTGTCGATTTTAATGAGCATCTACACTATTGCAGGTGCAGTCTACAGGCTGCTTTACCTAGATATGCTTGCATGTCTTGGTGAGCCCGGGGAAGAGGGCGCAGGATATGCGTCCTCGGATGGCGAGACATCCGAAGAGTGAGCCGCCAGGATGGCCGGGCGTAAGCTTCCGGCGGCGAATCGGAAAACAAGCGCCGTCTGAGGGTTCAACCTCACTGGACACCCCACAAAGCTCCATCAAGCCGCATCAAGTCCCATGAAGCCCTGAACCCGAAGCCCTACATCCGAACCTCATCCGAGGCCTCGCCGAAGAAGCATCACTTCGAATGATCTGAACGTCATTGCTTTAAGATTTGTTGTGGATGGTTCCCACAGATCAGACGCTGCACTGTGTATATACGTTTAAATATTGGTGTGTGCAAGGATGTTATTTACACATGTTTGTATGTACATGCTCACATACACATGTTGGTGCAGATGCACACACACACACACGTATACATACAAATATATACTCACATAAACACACACACATAATATATATATATATACATATATATAAATATATATCCATACTCCTGTCTCTCTCTCTCTCTATATATATATATATATCTTTATATATATATATATATGTATATATATATATATATATTTATATATATATATATATATTGTATACATAACGTATACGCATAATTACATACATGAGTTACATACATGTATACATACATACATACATACATACATACATACATACATACATACATACATACATACATACACACGATGTCCGGTTTCAAATTTGAGGGTTTTCGGCTGCTTTAGAGGGCTCTCGCCTCGAATCTTGCCTGGTTTCACAGATCCCGCGCTGAATGTCAAAGTGGGACGCCCATGTGAGGGGTCAACAGTGTGAGGTTCCGGGTGTAGGCGTAGGGTTTTAGGGTTAACATAGGGTTTAGGGTTCAGGGTTTTGGGTTTAGGGTCTATATATGGTTTAGGCTTCAGGGTTAACACTTTGGAGTTCATGCGTGAGACTGGATGCTTCTTACCCACGGAGCCTAAGTTTTCTCCCTGGGACGCTAGACCCCAGACACATCTAGCCAGCACACAACCCTTTCGTGGGTGTGTTCGCTTTCGTTATTAAGAATTATTCAGAAACCCAGTGCGAAGGGCATCCGTTGAGCCTGCAATGGCTTCCCCATATGTCCCCGGTTGAACAGCCAACAACCTAAAGCCCTACCCAAGCCCGAAGCTCTGAAAAAGTGAAACCTGCAGCGCCAAGTCCAAAATTGCAGCTAAATGCCCTAAACCCTAAACCCTAAACCCTAAACGCCCTAAACCCTAAACCCCAACTTAAACAGGCTGCACTTCTTTGCCAAAAGCCCCAGTGGCCTAATCCGAACACCCGCAAGCCCCCAAACCCTAAAGCCCTTAGCCGTTAAGGCCTGAGATGCCCACCCCTATTTAGGGTTTAGGGGTTTAGGGGTTTAAGGTTTGGGAGTTTAGGGTTTAGGGTTTAGGGTTTAGGGTTTAGGGTTTGGGAGTTTGGGAGTTTAGGGTTTGGGGTTTAGGCCGAAAAGTTTGTAAAGTCCTTCCGGGGCGTCCGTAGCACTGGTAGGGATCTCTCTCAGGAGCGGCCCCTTCACTGCCTGGGTTTCAAAGCAGAGCAACTCGTAGGGTTTTTGTAGGGTCGAGGGCTCTAGCGGTTGGAGTTTAGAGCATTTTGGGTTTAGGGTTTCAGGGCCTAGGGGCATGTAGGCATTCAAAGTTTTTGGATTTAGAGCCTTGGGGTTTAGGGCTTAGGGTTCAGGGGTTTAGGGTTTAGGGTTTAAGGGTTTAGGGTTTAGGGCTTTGGGTTTAAGGGGTTTAGTTGGGTTTAGTTGGGTTTAGGGTTTA